CCGTCACACCCCTCTTTGTGAGGACTCTTGTGTGACCTGGTAGTGAATATGTTAAAGCAACAAAGGGGTTTAACAAAGATCCCATAAAAGTCTCATTAAAAATGTAGTATTTAAAAATATTATTAATAATGCGGCTTAGAATCTTCTAGTCGAGTGGCAAAGGAAATACTTTTATTGCTGGACGGGTCAGGTGTCCTGAAGACGTCTTGAGGTCCACAACACGGACGATCCCATCCTTTCCAGGATGGATGCCCGTTATACGCGGGCAAGAGGCCAATTGAGTGGTGGAGAAGAATCGTGCACCAGAACTAGATCTCCTATCTTCAGGTTTTGAGAATTTTTACATTATTTTGAGCGTTGTTGAAGTGTATGAATGTATTCCAAGCTCTATCGTTTCCAAAGTCGTTGATAGAAAATCTGTACTAACTGCCAATGTTTAAGGCGATTTGTTGGCACATCCATGACGTGAGGCTCTGGAAAGGATGCCAGTGAAGTTCCAATGAGGAAGTGACCGGGAGTTAAGGTTGAAAGGTCAGCTGGATCGCTTGAGAGTGGAGTTAACGGCCTGGAATTGAGCATGGCTTCAACTTGAGTGGTGAGCGTGATGAATTCTAAAAGAATGAGAACTGTCAGCACCGACGAAATTCGTGCCACAATCACAATAAATGTCCACACAAAGTCTACTGCGGGAAACAAAGCGCGTTATAGCTGCTAAGAATCCATCGATGGTGAGATCTGTCACTACTTCGAGTTGGACAGCCTTGGTCACCATGCAAATGAAGATGCACAGATACACTTTTACGTGTTTCACAGAACGGAGATTTAAGTTTTTAATTGTGGAAGGGTCCACAGTAGTCGATTCCTGTAGAGAGAAATGGCCGAACAGGAGTGATTCGAGAGGAGGGTAGACCACCCATCAGCGGGGTGTTGTTGCGTGGTTTATTTCGGAAACATGTAACGCACTTGAATATACGTGAGCGAACAACGCTACATGCACAAACAATGCAGACGGATTGAACGATCAGAGCTTGAGTGAGTTGAGGTCCAGAGTGGAGATGTTTGACATGGAAATGGTCCACTAGCAGGTCAACAACATGATTCCTAGGTAGCAGCAATGGATGTCGAACATCAGAAGGTAGTGATGAATTTTGAGGCGACCACCAACGCGCAAAAGTCCATCAGAGTCAAGAAATGGTTTCAAACGTTGTAGTTGGGTGGAGCAGTCTTTGGAGGGACGAAATTTCATCTGCAAAGGTGGCTTGTTGAACATGATGGAAGATCTTGAGACGAGCTTTGGAAATTTCAGACAATAAGAGAGAATTTAGGGATGCCCTTGCTCTACGTTATGGGAAAACAAATGTAAAACTCCCTGCGAGGGATGCAGAAAGGAGTTCAGTGTAGAGCATGCTCTTATATGTTGGATTGGAGGAATTATAATAAAAAGACACAACAAAGTAAGAGACACAATAGGTAACATAATGGAACAAGCCTGGGGAAACTGCATTAAAGAGCCCTTGATAGCAGAATTCAGTCATCAAAACGAACCTGCCCTAAAAGCTAATTTATCTTGTAGAGGCGTATGGGAGAATCAGATGGAAGTATTGTTTGATGTTCGTGTCGTTGACACTGATGCTCCATCTTACGTCTCCATCCCTCATCAACAAGCTATAAAAAAGCAGAAGATGAAAAAAGAAAGTATACAAAAGCTTGCGAACAACTACATACATCATTTACTCCTCTTGTCACAAGTTAGTGTTGATGGAGTTTTTGGGAATGAATTCCAAATGTTTTTAAGAGTTATGGCTGAAACATAATCAGAAAAATGGAAAAACCCATACAGTTTGGTAATTAATTGGATACGATCAAGAACAATTTGTGCAGTTTTAAGGGCAACCAGTATGTGTCCGAGACGAAAGAGAAAGAAATTGCGTTCAGCGAGGGAATTTGAAGATGGAGCTAGGATTCCAATTTTTTTAGTCTAAAAATAATTGTTAAATTCTGATTGTACTGTTATTTTTTTATAAAAAATTCCATTGTAATTAAATATTTGTTGTGCTATTATAAATAAATCCATTGTGCACTTTACTCCCCCTGATGTAACATCAGGGGTCACACTATAATTTTATTTCAAAGTAAATCTTGAAGTTAGTAAAATAGATATTTGAAAACGGTGAAAATGTACCGGTAACCAGTCCAGTACAACCAATGTATAGTTTTAAACAGTGAAATTAAAATGAACAGTCAAAATGTGTTTATTTCTTAAATTATATTGATTAGTTTATGAACTGATTATATAAATTAATAAAAGAATTGATACCAGTAATCTGACATATACTTTCTCCTATTAGCTTGCCAACATAACTAACTCTTTATTATGGGTAATCGTACGTCAAGCTGTCGTCAAACTAATTGACTGTCATTTGACATGAAATGAACACGAAAACTACTGCCTACTGCTTTACTAAGCTGATTCGGATAGCGAAAATCAGTAGCACATCAAACAATAGCCTTTTCAATTACGTCAGGCGTTGGACACGCTTAGCTATTCGGTACAAAGAGGTGATTTCCTGCCCCGGGTGAGAAGGTCCGCGGCGCTCATAGGCGAGTGATTAATCTCAAATTTGGCGTGAGCGAGCCTCTGGCTGCCGTCCAGGCTTCTTTTGACCACCTCTATCTTAAATGTTACAAGCAATTGATAGGGGTTTTTATGACGAACGGTCAGAAGTTATCAGTAGATTTATATGTCATTGACTTTACTTTTGGTCTCATCTATGGACTATCTGTAGTGGATATTTTATTAAAATATGATGAACCACTCAGAGAGTGTGCTACAATCAAAATTATATTTTTGTCATTCGCTTTTGATACTATGGTGGTTGATGTTACCTAAAAAGATGGTATAGTTTACAAAGTGGTATTTAAATTTGATTTTAGTTTGGGCGTATTTGACAATAATTCCGTCGGCGGCTCAGTTCAGCTATATGTTTATGTTTATCCTAAAACTGACTACAGCTTAAATATGGCAAGTGGGAGTGGTATGTCATGTCTCATTGTATGAAATGTCAAATGCACTATCCAAAATCAAGCATAGGCTAGTAAGTTAGTCTATTCTTGTTTTACACGTGTTGGTTACAGAGATATACAACGCTAAACGTATTTCAGTGTACAACTAATAGACAAAATTTGAAAAATATTTTTGCTTCAAACAATTTTTTATTCGTAAGATTCAAATACCTTATAGGTATTTAATTCATTCGGCATTTTTGACATTATTTCCTGTTCTTGTTTAACACTTGACATACGATTCTATTGTGACTATTGCATCTAGCTTCACGTCGAGTTTATAGTGTATATCTAGTTTTACATCAGACCATTTAAGATTCAAACGTTACCATTCAAAATTACCATTGCGACACTTTTAGTTTTAACCTGAAAATGCTATTAAATTGAGACGAACGATAATTTAATTGAAAACTATGCCCAAATTACCACAAGAACTGTAACAATAATCACCAGTGTCGGTTTATTCACTGTCAGTGACATAATTCACTTTCTAGACTCAATTTGGTGTTAGATCAAAATCCCCAATTTCCAGCTGCATGCAATAATTTAGAGGGTAGAGAAACGCTTATCATTTTTACTAAATGTGAAAATAGAATAATAATTTAGAATTTAATTAATTTATTTTTTTTATTTAATTTAGAATAATAATTTATGTACAATATGTTAACAGCAGCCATGTCAAATCATCTGAGAAAGGCAATATAATACAGAAGATACATAGGTAAAGTAGGTTCAATTGTACATAATAACTTGATAATAGTTAGCAAACCAATAAATCTATCTATATATATAAAATCCAATGTATGTTTGTTTGTTTGTTTGTTTGTCCTTTATGGACTCCGAAACCGCTCGACAGATTGTAATGAAACTTTCAGGCATTATTAAGCATTATTCAAGGATGGTTTGTGTGAAGTTTGGTGCAGATCCGTCAAAAGGGCTCCGTCCCAGTGGCTCTGGAGTTTCCCATGTCAACCTTATGATTACTCATATTTAAATGGAATTAAAGAATCTTAACAGCTGGTTCAACTAAACAATTTGATTCTGCAATTCTTTTTGTCTATGGTGATGTTCATTAGCATTAAAAAGTTAATAGGTCTACCAACAGGGTGCAGCACTGTTTTTTTTTTTTTTTTTTTTTTTTTTTTTTTTTTTTTTTAATTTATGACAACAGTTGAGTGAGCGCGAACGAACTTCAACCTGAAGGCGAGTTAGCGTAGCGAACGAGCTAACCTGAAGGCGAGTGAGCACAGCGAACGGGCTCCAACCTAAAGGTGAGTAAGCGTAGCAAACGAACTCTAACCAGGACGTGATTGAGCCATGCGAACGAGCTCATCTTGAAAATGAACGAGCATTTGACATAAATCCACATTAGGACAGGACGACGTCTGTCGGGCCAGCTAGTGATCTATAAAAAATTTATTTCAGTTACAGAAATGCGGATCATTATTTTGTATAAACATGGAAAATCATAACTATAAGTAACAGTTTCATGTTATTCCTAAATGGAGCATGTTTGTAGCACTAAACGATTCAACCGTTATTACTTAAATAAATAATTAGAAACATAATTTTAATACCAACATTTCTAAGACTGTACCAACAAAGTGTCAAAAGTCCTCCTCACATGACTGTAGATCTGTGTGAAATACTCGAATCACCTCTTTATACAGACATTTACTCCTCGGCCATCTCTTGCATTACCATTTCAGACAGTTCTCACCGTTTATTTACATCTTGCCCCAATGTCCAATGTCACGCCAGTTTTGGCTTGGAGCCATCTTTCTACAGTGCGACAGAACCGGACCGAACAAATACAAATCGGCCTAGGCGACGGTTAATTATGTAGAGATTCCGCGTTGGGAGATGAAAATTGGTTAATAGGAGATGAAAAGGTCCAGAGTTTAGGGGGTGACGGGGGGAGGTTGCCGGGGGAGGGGAGGGAGAGCGATGGTCAGTCAGTTGCCAGCGATGCTGTCGGTGATTCAACTTGTACTTATCGCAGGTCAGTTACAACGGAACCAACTTACGTTCAATTAAGTTAAGTTAAAATATGTTTAAAATTAAACCGGTCTCTTTAAACTATTGCTTAAACACGATTTTACCACTGTAAACCGATAAATTCACATGTTTAGGTCAAGGTGTTAACTTTAGCTTAAAATTCACATTAGGGGTGACTTTTTACGCCACTCTATAAGTTTTCAAACGTAAATCACTGAACAACGCATCAGAACTGAATAATTCTCATATTCAATTACAGACATAATGTTTTATGATATTATTCGTTAAAAAGTATAGATGCGTCCATATAGTGACGACGTTCTAAAACCTTATATTTAGTTACCGGCGTAGCAAGTTTATTTTTATGTGTTGTAAGCAAGGAAGTCATAACAATAATGTTCACACTGTTTTTATTTAGGTAAAATGATAATGTTATTTAGATCATACGTAGATGTTTAGGTAAAATTGTTTCCTTTTTTCATGCATTTGAGTTAATAGCTTAAATAAGTAAACCAAAAGTACTAAATATTACCCTTGTTTGATAAGTTACCGTAAGCACGACAGGTAGATCTGGTTGACGTTTTGAATGACCCAAACACATACAGATTAAATAAAAATCGTTCTTGATTTTCAATTCATACATTATGCAAACAATGTATTTCATTTACAAAATATTGTATAGCTAACTAATAAACCCTTTAAAATGTGAACAGTTGACATAAAAGTTGATAGTTATTTTCAACATTAGGATTCAGGATTACTTGAATACGTCTTCATCCTTGGCCAACATTATCAGATAGATTGCGTCAATTAAATTACTATATAGGCTACAATTTTTACAAAAATAATATTTACAAACACTACAGTTACTTTGTGGCATGGCGGTTTGGATTATTTAGGATTTAGGAAATATTTAGGATTGGAGGTTTGGCTTCTAGGGACTTTGAAATCAAAAGTATTGAACAGTTTTCGCATATTGATATTTTTGGACCTCGGTAATAGTTTACTTTCCAATAGTTCAATTTGTTAATGATGATGACGTTTAGTCATATTTTTGTTTCAAAGTTAGGTCTGAAGTGAATAAGATTTTGTATTATTTCCTATGAATAACTTGTATTTTATTTATTTATTTCTCTTTAACATACCATTGCATGTAATTAAATTCAAGTATTTTAAATGTTTTAATTTTACATGTGATAAAATGTAGTTCAGGTGATAGCAGCAACTATGAAATCGGTCTACCAAATAGGTTAAGTTTAGTGAAATGTATACAGTAGTTATTTACGGTTCGTTTTGAAAAAAAAAAAAAAAAAATAGGAGTAGACAAAATACCTATAATGCTAAAATTTAATACCTCAGTCAACAATTTAGTTATCAACAAAAGCACACTTGATAATCGTTCACTTAGGTTGCAATTAGTATAGCCTACATAGATATTATTTGGTTATAAACATACAGCGCGTTTATTTCACTTAATAAATATGAACTTTCTGTAAAAAATATTGTTGGAAGGAGAAATATTTTAAAATGAAAACCTAAAATGACATAATTTCTTAATTACAAGGCAAGCTAGAAGTTGTACATAAACGGGGAAAGTTTGGCGAACACGTTTTGATGAGTCAGTTAGTAATGAAAGTTTCGTAGCCGTTCCGATTTACCATCAAAGAAACCCATAGAGATATTTCAAATATATGTGTAAAAGACGTTTACAAGGCGAAGTATTTTGAATTTTTGAAAGTTTTACATACAGATAAACGTACGATACACAAGGAAACTGATTACTTATAATCGTGTATGACGTTTATACCCAATTGGATATAAGACGATAAGCCCGTTTGTAGAAAAAAGCTGCCAACGCAAGAGGTCATGATCATATTATGCTGACAGATTTCCGTGTGAGGATCGTGGGTCCTGTGACAGCATCCAAGCAAATGTGGTTAATATCGTAGGCAACTGAACCTAACGTAGATCTAACCCCACATTATCTACCCCTAACCATTAAATAAATCATGAAACAAAAGTTTTCACTTTTGAAGCGTGAAACATTTATCTAACCTAATGACTGAAAGAACAGTTTTTATCTCGTTTGCTGATATTTGTGAGTATATTTTATTGGAACTTCATAATCATTATGCGGATACATTTCCAATGTACTCTTATGAAGCCCGGTTCAAAAACAATAGTCCTCGTAGTTCTGGTTCGAGGGGGGCTGCCAACTCGAATTTGGCATCGAAACCTCGATGGCCAATGCCAAAATTACCCGCACATAGAGCAGAAATCAACATCTATTGATGATACTTGAATTAGTTACTCAATAATTAGCCTAGGTCTCCGAATAAGCCTTAGACCAGTGTCAGACGCGTTTTCCTCAGTTTAGATACTTAACAAAAATTGAACTTAAGACTTATAATTTTTTAATACTTACGAAGTCACGACTTTCCTTAGCTTAAAAGTTTTCGTCCGCTGTTTTGAAAAATATTATTTAGCAAAATATATTTTCGTGATAAATTATGTGTCTGCTTCTGAATATAATGTGTATACTTGTTGGAATTATCAATGTCAACACTTGTACAAAAAAGAAGAGTTCAGCAGTTTCCCGGAATCTAACTGGATACAGTTTTTTGAATATACTTTGGCATACTAGTAACTGCAAAGTATATCCAGGATTAGTACTGCCAGTTATAAATTACACACTGATACAAAAAATAACTCAGTTCAGGCAAACAAATAACGTGTTAGTCCCGGGCCTAAAACAAATAAATATCACTGAGCCCAACGAGTGCATAGGTTTGCTGCAACAAGGAACACACAAATGCGTTTTTGTCAAGTTTCAATGTCCGAAGAACGTTTGCTACACCCCTTGACGATTTAACTGTAAGAAAAGCAATCCACACGAATCATTCAGTCATTAGACACCGAAACGCATTCAGCTATTTGCTTATCTCGTATACCAATAATTTTCTAAGTTAGTTTTTTAGCCGAATTGAATTTTAGCGTGAATACAAAAAGTCCCTATTCCATGATCGGATCGGCGATCGGAGAGTGGTCACGAATTAATTATTTCGTTTGGAAATTCGATTAATTCTTTTTCAGAAAAATCTGAAACCCTCCCCAATATTATCATACCTTGATATAATGCTAGATATAATACGAGACAATACGAGATAAAGCGATACTCGTGAGATTAGCCAAGTCTCCGTTTCTCACAGTGTAGCAGAGAGGTGTGATTAGTATGAGAAGTTGACGCACTGTCTGGTATGCAGAGTGCTGACAATAAGACGCTACTATGTGCAGATACCTGAATCTTCCGAGTATTGACAGGGGTTGTCTAGAAACACTAATAATTCTCAGTAAAAAGTATTACTCAGATTACACAATTTCAAAAGTCGATAAAAAAGAAAGAGGGATTTGTATGACAAAATCCGACCTTTGATGCTTGCAACTGTTTATGAACGATAGCCTATTTATTTGCCAATGATCTTGTACAAAGTGTATTAAATGTGTCACTCATTGGTTAAATATCACTAGTTAAATGACGGACCTCATTATCCCATCAATAGAAACCACTGTGACTAATAATGGTCATTGGATTTATGACTATGTTGGCAATCTGTAAACGAAATAATTACTGATAGCTGGGTCAGTGTGCGTTTTCCCGACGTTAACCCTAAGACCTTATGATTGCAGACATTGATAACTCTTTCACTGATAGGTTTTATAGTTTATGGTTACGATATCTGAACTGTTTTATTTGTTGTCTAAGGTCCCAAAATGGTTTGTCAACTGATTATGTTTTAAAAGAAGTATTGATTTTTATTTTACGTCAGCTATTTTTTACCTTTAGTGGAAGGCTACAAAGAAACAAAGTAATTTGGATGTTTTACTTTTTTTACGATTTGACACCGACGTTAGGAAACAATCAATGTTTCCTACAACAACTCAATTCAAAACACAATGTTCAAAAAACAATTCAATGTTCAATGTTCAATGTAGATGTTTGTCTATAAACGAATTAGCGGTTTGCTGTGCTCTATTTATGCATGTATTTGTTGTAAAAATATTTGCTTACGCTAATAGCAATATCAAAAATACTGTTGTAATAAATACATATATTTGTTTTATCCATTGTATGGTTCATAACGCATTCGCTTCTTTTGCGATATTACCTTCTCAATGTGTATAGGGTGGTTATTAATAATGTCTTCTCAATAAGTGCCAAAAATAAATATTTGCAATCCGGAGATCGTGTTTATGACTGAAAAATGTTTATGGATTGAGAGCTTTCATCCAAGTAAAAAGTGCACTGAGTATTAAGTGAGCCGAATCGTTTCTTATTATCAGTTAAATTATTGAGTATTAAGTGCAAACGCAGCTTTTCACCACAAGACAAAATAACGAGAAGCATATGATATTTAGTTCAAAGTTAAATACACCAATCCAGAGAACCTACGGTATAAATTGAAAGTTATTGTTGCTAAGAAACAACAACAATGTAACAAAGTAACAGCTGATTCAAGGGCTCTCATTGGGCTTCTTTCGTCAAAAAACATTAAAACTGTTTAAGGATTATACTATACATGGTTCATACATGGTTCATATTATTTGTAAGGAGTAAAAATTAAGAACTAAATATTTGAAACCTAAAAATATTGCAATCAATTGCAGTTGTGTCTGAGATAAGAATAGCTTCTGCAAGACAAAATATGAAGACAGAGGATACATGTATTCTTACTTGCACATTTTAGGTTAATATATTAGTTCAAGATTTGGTTTATTTTTTCCTTGCCCATATCTTTCATGCCAATATGAATATATGTTTATTTATATCTATAAATTAATAGACAGCATGGTTCTCGTTGCAGGAAAATCTGCGTATATTAAAAAGATATTTTCCTGTGCAAAATCCCTTTATAAATTAAAAAAAGCTCAAAAATAAGCAAAAAAAAACACAAATTAGTTTAAAATGAAAAAAAAAATAACATGGCCTTATGGTTTGCCATGCGG